ATGCTAAAATCGTTATTTTGGAAGTAAAGCACGCAAAAGGTTGGTAAATTTATAGTGATACTTGCAAAGGTTTATACTGTATTGTTAAGGTTTATGAATCTGTCTGTGTAGAAGCCCCAGCATAGGTTTTACAAAAAGCATTTTTTTATTTTCTCTATTTCTAGCAGTGGAAAAATTACAGCAATTGTATGTGTGAATGTCTGATGGGGAGTTATATGCTGCAACAAGTTGGAAGTTCATAGGTTTTTTTGAACGATGATTTGCTTTTTTCGTTTTGTTGGGCATCTGGATCTTTTCATACATATCTTGAATTTAAACTTTATATGGTTCGCACTTGGTGTGAATGTTTGAGTGGCTTTTTGTGGAGATTGCTTTGCTTATCAAAAGTCCCCGATTACTATCACGAAGAAATGTCTCATGGCAGTAAAGAATCAATCATAAATAGGCTTTTGGGCAACCTAATACATCCACCTTTGCCTGAATCCAGACTATAGTCCATAGCTGGAATGCCGCGCGTCTTTTTACGGGTACAAAATAAATTAACCTTACAGAACTACCTCGTGTCGCAACCTACAGAGCTCGAATCTCGTACATTCCTGCACAGTGCAAGGTTACTTCTCGAAACACAATGTTGAGATTCAATTGCGATAGGAAAATGTTTGGCGCTGGTCATTTTGACTATGATGAGGTGGACCAGGTATGTGATGTGAATGAGACCAAGGCTTTGAAAATAAGAGAACAATATCTAGGTTACCGGGCTGGAACGATTGGAAAAGCAGCATTTCTCGTCCCTGGAGGAGTCTTTAGAAAACACATCATTAGTCAAAATTCCGCCTCTGGAACAATCGCTAGGAGAGAACTGGGTGACTGTAGAAGGAGACTACGTAATGGCAAACGTCTCTACGCTTAGCCACCTTGGTAAGTATACAGCATTAACCTAGCGCCCTGGAAATCTAATTCATTACAGGATCTGACCTACCATTCCTTCCATCGGCTCGCTTGGACGAGCCGACCATGTACCTAACTCTGATAGACTGGAATACGATAAAATCGCGACTTCATGTTGCTCATCTGTTTATATTTATGGAGAGCAGTCGACATTTGGCTCATCCGTGCATGCAGGTAAATTGCAAGGAAACTAAATTTTTACCATCAGTCACCCGGGGTATCAAAATAAATACGAGAGAAAGAAACTATTCATTTCTGAAATTCTTTTAACGATAAATTATGAAGGCAGCGGCGGATCTGCAATTACAAAGGATGCATTGCGATTTTTTAAACCATTTTCTGGGAGGCTTTTTTGATTCGAGTATCGATAAGGAAATACATAACTATGCTTGAAAAACAATGTGCTTTTTCTAGCACAATTATAAATTCGTTGCACGCATTTTTGAGGAGTTTTTTCTTCTTTCTTGTCGCCAATTATGAACCGATCGCTGCCATTTACAGAAAATTGAAGATTCAGAATGAAAAAACTCTTACTGAATAAAAGAACTGGTCCGAGAAGAACAGAATCACAATAATGGTTTTGCTAATTGAACTATTGATAGCATTAGTAAGGAAACAAGCATACTTGCAAGAAATAACTATTGGCTATTCAGATAATCCCGGTTAAAGCTATTAGAATCGAGCCACTCTCAGACGGCGGTCATTTTGCCATAGATGGAGAGCCCTTTAGATCAGGATCGTCATTCCAGGTGCGTAGATTATATTTTCTCTCAGTTTTTTGAATCGCATTACTTCATGTTAAATGTTGAGGTGGTACCGAGCAAATACTGCGCTACCGTCGTTGGCAGGAAAGAAGTGGTCCGAGAAGAACAGAATTACAATAAATATTAATGTACCATAATT